TGGCTGAATCTTATTGGATAACTGTATCACTTAGTGTAACTTCCAAACTTTATTAAAGTTGAAACTCTACACTACAGTATCTAAGAAATAAACTTCAAAATTGATGAAATGAAACCCTGAGATCGAGACCAACTTTATAGACGTATGTACATTTTGAAAGTTGTCTTTGACCGCTTAAAAATGGAAGAGACCTCCTGTTAAGCTTTGTCTGCTTCCAATTCTTCCTACCCTAAGATTCTCTCACTTTTTCTCCTGATCCATTTATATAAAAACCTGTATGAAAATGAGCTGATCAGATTTTGTCCACTTCATGATGTCATAACGATTTTCGAGTGGCTCCGTATTTTCATCTAAACTAACAGACAGAGAATCAGCACTTTTGAAACAGGGCTGAAACAGAGGGGATTATGGGTAATGCTGCAATGATCTGTTTGGTGTTTGGAGCTAAACACTTCAGAGACATGTTTTGTATATATCTGAGACCTATAATATATTGATGAAAAACAGAATAATAGGGGACCTTTAAAGGAATACATTCAGTGTTGGTTTGGCCGTTATCGTGGGATAAAAGGACAACATGTAAAATATACTATGATTAAGCAGGACCTCCTTTCACCTTGTGGTGGTGGTGGTGTGGGCTGTACGCTGCTCCTCCTGTTCCTCCTCCAGACGTCCAGTCCAGGCCGGGCAGGGAGTCGGAGCTGAGCTGCAGGTCTCTCAGGTGGAGGAAGGGAGGCGTGGAGTCTCCTCTCCCAGGGCTGGGCCCGAGGCCGGGGCTGGGTCGGGGACTTGGCCTGGGGACAGAAAAGGTACAAGGTGAGTTCCTTTTTTTCTTTCCTGCTTTTTTACACATTTTCTCCCAGTACAGGTTAGCTCTGAGTGTTAGCAATGCTAATGTAAAGACAATATTACGTCCAAAACACGACGGGCATTGTTTCTGATAGCAACGTTTCTGATTGGGCCATGGGTCCACATTTCCGATATTACGTCATATTGGACGTAACTCTGGATCAGCTCCGTTTTACCCCCGTTTTTAGAGATTTGGGAACGGAGGAAAAGAGAGAGGGTTTTATTTTCTGACACTTTGTGAGTTCCCTGACACACCGGGGACACATATTTATGTATTAAAGTGCATTTTGCATGATAAGAGAACTTTAAGTAAAAGTAGAAGGCCACAGGGACTATATATCACATAATTAGGGAATTCAAAGTGCATTAAACAGCCAACAGAATACGAATTTAAAAAAAGAAAAGAAAACAGGTATAAAATACAATAATTAAATGTAAATATATTTTGTTGATTTCCTACCGGGGGCTGGGTCGAGGACTCGGCCTGGGGATAGAAAGGAGGGGGTATTCTTTGTTTTACTTAAGTTAAAGTAGAAGGCCACAGGATACACTGAAAAACTAAACTAATATTTATAATACTAAAAATCACATAGCGTGGTTAGTCGAAAGCAATAATGTGATGATGGTTGTTTTTAGAAAATTTGGAAAACTCTCTTGTATTTTAATCATCCTTCAGTTGGGGGGAGGGGGNGCTTCAACTCCGGGGACTTCCGGCCGGGGACTTCGGGTGGCAGTATACGCCACTTCTTCTTCTTCTGCTTTGGGTTTACTGGCAGACCGCAAACTTCACGGCGTATACTGCCACCCGAAGTCCCCGGCCGGAAGTCCCCGGAGTTGAAGCCTTCCGAGTAAATCGCCAGAACGCAGACACCTCCTCATCTCCACCGCTCCCATGTTTTCTTTTGTGTTGCCATAAGTTAGTCTCTCTGCGTTTTTGCGCTGGGCTAATGTTAATGCTAATAATGCAATGCGAGGATAATAAAATGGGGGCTTCGCAAAACTTTTTCGGAGTTTTACGGGGCGTGGTTTGCATTCCGCCCAGCCAATCAGACATAGGAACCTTTTTATCCCACGAAAGTACCTGCTCTCTAGCAGGGACAGAAAAGGGGGTAAAAAGGTTCTGATGAACTAATTTTAGTTCCGGCTCTTTTTGGTGTGAACGCGACATTTCGGAACTATATCGGAACTAAAGTGGGAAAAGTACTGCGGTGTGAACACGCCTAATGATACACAAAGGAGATCATACTCATTACTGATTTTTCAAATAATTTAATTGGTATTACATTTGAGTAGTTGTAAATGTGACATTTCAACTTGTGTAATAAATAAGAGAATGATGACTGAGTGATGTACAAAATGTTTGACATGATGATGGAGTGGACACCATTGATATCTCCCGGTTTGATCTCCTCAATCCCGTGACATGCCTTTGAAATAAAAGTAAAAAAACATTTAAAATATGAACATGTATTTACGAGTCTGAAAATGAAATTCTACTCATAAATCCTCCCATGATGGCTCTCTAGATGTTGGTCGTGGTCCCCTTGTTCCCAAAAGAACAAAGTCAGCTACATCAAAACGGTGTTAGACATCACTCAGAACAATAACATGGCTGACAGATCTGACACACGCTCCCATTGGCTATCAAACATCCAAACACAGAGTTTGACAGATGTCAGGACAGATGCTGTGTCAGTAAAATAACAGGACAAGCAGGACCGTATAACATCTACACGACTGTCTACCCTCAAAGTTGTTCTGGGATACATTTTGACAGAATTGACTGATATGAAAGCAGTGCCTGAAACTTCTCAGTACGCCAAGGAACGAACAGTGTCCAATGGATTTTCAAGTCTGGATGACATTAACAAAACAGCAAGGGAGTTTTTACTGCCGGTGCCATATCAAATATTGAAATGTTCCAGGAAAAATGCACATACAAGAGCATGCAGGGGAGGCAGAGCAGGGTCCGGATTACTGGCGAAACCGATTTAGCAGAACAAACAGGCAAAATTCCAAACTGTTGTAGCAAGAAGGAAAACTTATTTCGAACATTTGTCAAAAGATTCTTCGAAGATGTGTTAGGATGAGGGCAAAGGGTCGACATGAAAGTGACTGTAAACAACATCTCATGTTTTCTCTTCACTAGACGAGGCATATGCTGACTCTCATAAATCCTTCAAGATATTTCATCCTCTACTACATCAGCCTGAGTGATGCAAGCAGCTTCTTTCCTTTCACTCTGTTACAGGAGGAGGAATGTGTGGATGAGATCTGTCTGGTCTCATTGATTAATGGGATGCCAATGTGTGTTGCGCACATCTTGCTAACTGTTAGTCTTATAGTTCATGCTCACAGGATCTTTACTATGTTGTAAGGATTTATCAAAAAACAGAACGTATAGTACTTTCCGCATAGAAACTAATGGCGTTCATTAGTGCCATGGACCAAGAATTTGTGTGTGGGATGCAGTTAATTCACTGCTGACACACATTACCTCCCCCCCAATTAATGATACATTGCTAAAAGGAAATCTGTGTTGACAGTTGTAAGCTATTTGGCATTAGCTTTTAGCTATTAACAGTTAACAACCGATGGAGTGAAGTTACATAGAGTTGCACTATGGTGCGCTCAGGCATAAATGTATTCTATCAACAAATACACGTGCCAAAAGTTTTATAATCATGTTATCGTTACGTGATAATGAACTGTTTGAATTGAGTATTTTTCTTTTTTTTGCTGTGGTATTTTATTGAGATGGTATCGAGAATCATGGATTTTTGCTAATATTGGTATTGTGGTTCACCCCTTTTATCCAAGCTATTGGAGTAAAACACTATCCATTTAATTTAGTCATTTTAAATAAAATGTGTTTGACAGATCTACCTTTTGTTTACTGCTGCTCACATCATGCAAACTTAAAAGATATACATGTGTTACGTTATCCAGGATCAAACCCGTACCTTTGTACAGGACAAGACAGTGTGACAAGTTTGTAGTTCCTCTGAATGTTGACTTCCATGTTCTATATTACAAATCCCTCGGTGCAACAAATCAGGAAGACAAAGGGGGCCTGCCTTCCTGTTTGTGCGCTGCTGGGAAGTAGAGGGGAAGTCATGCCTAAGAAATGAGGGAACATTAGAAACACTCGCAGTCAACGTGAACGCACAAACCTGGAAATCATACACGACAAGAATCGTATTCAGACAAAGTGTTCAAAGAAACGTAGTTGTTTGATTTTCCGGTTTGTAATCAGGGCTTTTGTTTTCCAAAATCTTGCGAATGTGATACATTTCTCGCATTTCCACTCCAGGATTAATTGATATTGTGATAGAAACAGAAACATGCTTTCCTCCCGATCCTCCCTATCTCTTCCTTCCCCTTTCACGGTTTGACTTTTTCTCCCTGTGTCTGTTTTCTTTCCCTCCCTTTCAGCTTCTATTCCTCTTTCTCTCCCTCGATTAGTCCCGAATCATGTTTCCAGCGGATGTACTTCTAGGGCCAACTAAGCCAATAAATATGGTCTACGTGATTGATCCCCCTGCCTGTCTTGTTTACACAGTGTGCGCTCGCCTGCTCCAAAAAGAGACGTTGACCTTTCACACGGGGGGGGCAGCTCAACCTCTTTATCCCGCATCATTGTGCAGCTGAAGAGTCAATCGCAACCCATCATGCCAGGTGGGGGGGGGAGAAACGTTTTGCTGACGATAGCCGAGAGAAAAACACTCAGGTCTGTGTGAGTGGGGATGACGAGGGAACAAGGGATGTTTTCCTGTGATGTTCACGTCCATATAGTTTCATCGCCCCTGCCGGAGGGCTTATTTATGGAAGGGGGCCGTGTTTGAGGAGACAGAGGCGGCGTTGTGCAGCCACCGTCTCATGAATCAACTGCTCTGGTGATCTTGTGACCCGCTGCTCCCCCCCGTCAATTCAGGAGTTCAAAGGTTGTCTCTGAAGCTTGTCTCTTAAACATCATGGAGGAAAGGTGTACATTGGCCCTCTATTGGTTGTACACTGGACTCGTATGTGTGAGATCCTGATTTTTTTGCAAGGTTTGTTAATCTGATACTGTGAATGGTAAAAGCATCAGCTCTCTCATCCCATTGC